TGGCATGATGTCACCAACAGTGGGACAGGAAACAATTTTCGTAGTCTCGTCACACATCATTTTGAATCAGGAATAGCTCATTACCTTTCCTTACACAAACAAATAAAAACTAGAAAAAAAGCTAATCTGTCATTTAGGTTTTGTCATGCTGTGACAGTAAGGACAGTAATTTTCTCTTCTGCCAAAAAGCTGGTTATACTATAGACTTTCAGTAATGAAAGGAACACATAGTCCAGTTCAACATTATGCACTCGCAGGTTAAGCACTCAATCAATATGCTAATGTATTCTGTGCTGAATTGCTGTATAAGGAATAACAAACACAACTTAGGTCTCAATCACATTAGAGTAGAAATTGAATGTCAGCCTTTGTGCAACCAGGACAAATGTGTAAGTGATTGGGCTGATTTTCAGGGTTTTTTTTAATTTTTTGCTGTTTTAGACTGATTACAACCAGCTGGTTGTCCAGAGGTTGAGCATGCAAAATCCTCAACCTCTGCAAGCTCAGTGCAAGGCAATCTGTCTTGGTCCAACTCGGACTCACTCAATCACTCAATCAGATTAATTGGAAGGCCTCCAATTAATCGCCATATGTCAAAATAAAGCTGTTAACAGGGCTGTATATGTGTGTTAGACTAATGTCTTACTGTTGCAACGTGTTAGGTTTAGTGTTAAATTAACATGCACAATTCTCAGTCTGACAATTTGTTTGAGTCACTCACAGCCAACACAACAACGCAAACATGCCAGGATCACATCCCATCTCCACTTCAGTAGTTGTGCCATTTAACTTCAGTATTTTAATAAGACATACCGTAATGTTAAAATGCAACAGTTCAAAATGCTTTTAGTTTAAAGAAAGAATTAACATAACACTGCAGGAGATTCCTAAGAAAATACTTGCTTTGATTTCAGATTTTCTCCTACTTTCCTGGATAGTAGTTTTTACAGTGATTGAGTCTTTCTTTTTACCCAAATCTGTAAATATCTGACCTGAGAAGGAGGGGTCGCCAGCAGAACTTCAAACTTTTAAGAGTTAAGAAACATGTGAAAATTTATCTGTAACGTGTTTTCCAGCATTATGGACCACAAGTTCTAAGTACTCTAAATGTTTCAATAAATAATAGTCATCTTGGCGATTTTTTCAATGAAGAGTGTCGGCCCATCATGCCTCCAGCATCATCAGTGGCAAAACCAATGAACTGTGCTTGAAATATTTCTTCAGAGATGCCCACATAGCAAGGTTTTCTAACAGTGCATAAATTCAATTAGTTGTACGTACTGCAGAAAAACCAAAAGATGTGAACATTTAGTTTTCTGGCAACGTAACAGTGACTTCATTACCAATGATGGCTCAGGATTTGATGGGCAAATAATATTTTATGTTCTTCTACACATATATATATCAGCGGTTACACATAGATTTCAGGTTTGCATAGAGGAATAATTTGTAATAAACCAACAACACAGAGTCCCAAGAAATTTCTAACAGAAGAATTCACCCTTATATCATAATTATATTGATTCTCTCCTCTCATTTGTCAGAACTGTCACACAGTTTTCAGAGAGAAAAACGGACATTAAATTTGCTTCTTTTGCTGCACCTGGAAAGGGAATGAAATGATTTGTTTAAGGCAAACAATGAGCGGGTCCCTAAGAGCATGGGTTGGCTTCTTCTCAGCTATGAAATTTATTTTAACAAGAATCAATGATTACTCATATAAACTGAATCACTGCCTCATTAAATAGCACAAACATGGCTTTACTTTTGATTTTTTCTTTTTTAAAATTGTTTTTGTTGTGTATCAATTACTTAAACCAACATTATAATCAACTACAAAAGGCACTTGATGAGCACATCCTTCACCCGGACTAATGACTTATCCTGCAGTTTTATGAAGTACAATTCAAAACTTAATGTACTGTCTCATTGTTCATGTTACACCTTGATCTTTTCAGTTTTGTTTAATTTTGCAGAACAGCAGGAATGCACATGAGCATGTCTCTGACTTTGTAGCATAAATAAATAATAACTAAAAAAGTTTTGTTGTTTTTCTCCCTACTATAAATGCATTATAGTAATGACTTTCAGAGGCAAAGTCTGCAAACTGGCCCCAATGTCTAACTTGTCGGCAGGTGAAGGTAAATTTTCCAGCCTCAGTATTTTTGACATTCTGGCCAATATTACTACAATCTAAATGAGTCCTGAAATTTTGACGAATATGCAGGACTCTGAAAAGTACTGCCTTTTCAGTCTTTTCAGCTGCATCAATATAAGGTTCAGCCAGCATGTCTTTTGTCAAAGATCAACAGCTGCTTGATTCCCAGAAAGCCATTTAAAATGACTTAAAATAATTGATTATTTGTACAATAGGGAGTGTTTCGACATTTTTAAAGTGTCATTCACTTTCAGTTCTCCTTGAGAACTGTGCTTCTTGCAGTTTTCATGTATCTATACATTTACAAGTTAACATAAAATCCCTGGGAAACAGCAGAGAGAAAACAAGGCAATGCAAAAAAGCAGACAACACAACACATATTTGGCATAAAGAAGGCACGAAACCAACCTTGTGGTGACATAGTGACAACGTTCTAAGGCATGATTACAACCTTGGCTTGGCAACAAGGTTTGTTAAGTTTGTTAGACTGGAATTACAGGCAATAGAGAGCGCTATTATACAGTATATAAGGCATGGACAACCTTAGGTGGGGTTTCCTTTTCTTCTCTATAAAATGCTGCCTGTTGACACGTCAATGATGTCTGGGAAAAGGCTGAGAGATGCATTATCCATGGAATAGGGGGACAGAGTACAAGCCATGAGAAATAGCCTTTAACCTAGCCAGCATTTACTATTAAACTTCAGGCATTGCGTCATATTAAATGATACTAGTTCTGATAGGATGCCTGTCAGAGGTTAACAGTGGGCTGGTTATTTTAAACTATGTGTTGCAGCAAACTATTCAAACTTGGATTAGCAAGACCTGCATATTGAATCCAATGCTCCGTCCGAAGTTCACACATTCATTCAGACATAAGTGAAAGGCTTCTTTCAGACTGCTGGACAGTGGGGGTCTACGCAGCCCCAATTTTTGTAACTTTCCAAAACGGACAAACCAAACAGCCATGTCCGTTGTTCACCATGAGTGGCCAGGTGCACACTGGTGAGAAATGGGCAGAGCTGTAAATTCCTCCTCTTCTACTGAACCCTTTTCAGTGCTAAATCACACCGTTTGCATCTTGTGCTACAACCAGTGTTTAACGAACACCTTGGGACTTAGGGTCCTTTCATTGGTGCCTTATTAGCTACCATTTCTACTTTTACTTAAACAGTGGTGACACCTTGTTCTTTCATAGCAGCATGTGATTTGAAGTTGTTCTAATGAAACATATTTATGTCCACCTGGCAAACACACAACTACCAAGGTGTTTCTCTGGAAATGTTGCCTTTCTGCAAAATACTCATCGAGTTGATGCCAAGCAGAACAAATGTTTCTCATGGCCTTTTCTTCCATCTAATGCATGCCTGGAAATGGGTGACTGTGTATTAAATACTTAATTGCCCCCAAATGGAGTTACTTTATACTTTTCTGATGTTCTTCAGATGCTTAAAAGAAAGGCTTGCAATCATCCACTACCATGTACTGAATCTTTAACGTAGAACTACCCAAAACTAAAACAGCTTTGAATTCCCTCCTAGTTCTTTTCATTTAATCACTTTAGTAAGCACCACCTTTATATACAATGTGTAAAATGAAATGTCCAGTGCTCTCATTTTAAATGACTTTATATGTAGAGTTTACAGTTTACGGGTTCAATTTTAATATTAGTCATGGTTTTTGAAAGTTTGCTCTCTGTCACAAATTTAGCCAACATATTGCATCAGTTTAGTGATCGAAGGCTTTCACAATAAAACATTATATCCCTCGTAAAGTTAATGTGGCTACTGTGTGGAAGGCGCTTGGTTAGTCCAGAGCAGATGACAAAACAAGCCTGTAGACACTGAAAGCAGCTGTTGTGTCCTGATAGTCAAATCTCCCAGCTTTTCAAATGATCCCAGATGCATCATTTGAAAAGAATCAGATTTCCAGATTTAACTAAAACACAAGCCACAACATCTGCTTATGTTGTCTATAGGTTTTACAAGGTGCTCTGTGACTATGGAAGAAGTCATGCTAAACGGGAATAATATGAGGGTAATTTAGAGCAGTTTAACGACAGCTACGTGTTAGCAGAGGGTGGATTTCCCCCTCCCAAAGTCAATAAAAATGTGACACGATTTGCTTCAAGGAGCTTAGCCCTTTACATCAGAATAAAGCCTGTCTCAAGATCTGAGCAGTGTTTGGCTCTGTTCCATAAACCTTAAATTATAACACGTTTACAGGCGTTTCTCTGTATCTCAATCACATAATTGCTTGTTTTCTGTATAATAAATAAATTAATAAATAAAATGATATACTCGGGGATTTCACTAGGATCTAGGTTGAGTCAATAACGATTTGAATGTTTAGTCTTAATGCAGAGAAAGGGGAAACTAGTGAAATCATCAAAGACTCGCCCGCAATTGGTTAGTTATTTCTCGCAGTGAAATTTACAGCTTGACATCTTTATGAAAAGCCAGCGCTGTGTGCAGCCAAACAAATAAAAACAGGATTGTGAGAAACCGCAGACGACTCTTCTGTCAAGCAACATCATGTAATTTTACGTTCCGACATATGTCGCGCTAGATATATTCACTTCCCCACACAGGGAGCCGCAGGCAGGCAACCTGCGTCTCATGTAGACATCATGTAACCGGAAATTACAGCCAGAAAAATAACCTACACAACTTCGTATTTGCACAGTTGGCATGACAACTCAGACGCAGGAAAATACAGCAACATGTAAACGCAGTAAAATGTGATGTAGCCAGTAGCGGTGTCAAAGTAGCCATATTTGCCGGTATCTAAACAAGAATAGGAAGAAGTGAAAGTTTTTGTTTTGTTTTTTTAATCGTTTCTTACCTTTAGGAATTGGCACAGGGGCTTGAGGAACATCATTGGACAAGACAGAAGTTGCAAAATTGATCGAGGATGAAATCACTAAAAAAATGAGGTATTCCATCTCTGCTATAGTGCGTGCTCCAGGTCAGAGAGCGGGGATATTAACTCCCAGCCCGGCAGCAGTGGTCAAGATCAGCCCAGGAGGCTTGTACTATTGGCTCTCGCGATAATACAATTAATAAGGGGGGATTTAGGAAAAAAAAATCAACGAGTAGTGTGATTTCTGGTTGGGAGCCTGTAACTATTCTTTTAGCTCTAGGGAGCTGTCGTATAAGTGCTACAATTCAGGGAAATTAAATAGCAACAGGCGTGGTTCCTTAATTGCAGCTGCAGCTTGAGTTCCCGGTAAAGCCTATGAAGTGAGACGGTGCAGAGGAAAAGATAACGGTATTCATTCACCCCTGGCACAGGGACGTCCTACGCGAAAAGTGTGAGTAAGCGCAGCTGTATTTGAACCCCGCACCCCGTCGGCTGTTAACTGTCCCCTCCCCCTGAGCACATGGCATCTGGTTGACCAACACTGCTCCCCTTCTGCAGGGAAGTTCAAACAGTTCATTAGTGTAAAAAATATATATATATAAAAGTCAGTTTCCATAAATTACTTTCCTTTATAACTATAATAAAAAATAAGTAAAACTTATTTTATTTATTTATTATTTATTATCTCAACTTCTTGTTTTCTTTCTTACTTTCTTGCATATTTCTCACACTTAGATGTTTCAGATGGTCAAAAAACAAAAATAATAATACATTATTAGGATATCATTAGACAAAGAAAACCAGACAAAGCTGTTTGTTTGTTTTTGTTTGTTTGTTTGTTTGTTTGCATCATTATTTCAATATTCAAGGGGGAAAAAATGCTATACAGACTTATCTGATGCTTATTTTAAATTATTTAACAGTGATTAACCACATTTTTCGGGAGAAAAACACAGAACAATGTCTAAATAACTGACCTCTGTTGAGGTCAGTTATTATGATTCAGTAATAAGAAATAGACTGGCCAAAAACAACATCCACAGGGAGAGTTTCAAAGCCAAAACCACTGTGATTAAAAAGAACACAAAGGCTCATCTCATATTTCCCAAAAGAAAACTCTTGATGATCCCCAAGACTTTTGAGAAAATATCCCGTGGAGTGAAAAGACAAAAGCTGAATTTTTGGGGAGTTTGAGTCCAATTAGATTTGTCATAAAACTAATACCACATTTCATAAAATGAACATGAGAACAATCAGACATGGTGGTAGCAGTGTGGCTGAAGCTGCTTTGCTGCTTGCCATAAGTGATGAAACCAGGAATTCTGCACTCTACCAGAAAAGCAAAATCCTGAAGGAGACTGTTTGGCCATCAGTTTTTTTCCATTAGAGAAATTACAGTATGAGAAAGTTTTTCCTTTTTACCTACTTGAATAGTTAAATAATCCTTATAATTGAGTGTAAATAATTTGGTATTATAGCACAAGCTCGAGTTGAATACATATACGATTAGACATGTAAACTTATACAGTTAGAATGCGCAGCTTATGTGACAGTCCAGCTACGAGTAGGATAAAAGCTCCTCGTCCTTTCTGTCTTGGCAGGCTGCAGGCTCCCTGATGGCAGCACGGACAGCAGCCGGTTGTTGCTGGAATCCCATGCAATCTTCCTGGCTATGGATCATTTCATGTATATGTCCTGTTGGTTGAGTAGACCATCCTCCCAAGGACCAACTGGTCTCATCAAATGCAGATCCTCATCCAGGTGATGATATACAGTAGGGAATCCTGTGACATAATCGAGCCGATGGACATATATGAAGCAGCTATGCAATACTACACATGTTATGTGCTGTATGCCCTCAACAAGAAGAAATGAAGGGGAAAGCAGAAACCAGATGATAAATCTGGCTTTCATTAACTGTCACATTGTATTTGTGTTTCCTTGTGTTTTAGTTGACACTGAAACTAATGCCTTCTGTGATTTGTGTCCCTGGTTCATTATTGAGAGTAACAGACTTGTCCCCCAGCTCAGACCATTTCTTCCTGGTAAACACTTTGCATGTCTGTTGTAATCACTGCCAGAAGATTGTTTTGCTTAATGACATCACCAGAATCGTGGTTTTAAATTTAGAGTGAGAACCTTTATTACTTCTTTCCAGTGAGGCCCTGATAGAACTATAAAATGTAGAGTCATGCCAGAAAGTTGGTATTGGATGTTTGACTTTGATTTCAGCTGTTCTCTTGTTTTTGTTTTTAATTTCTTCTTTTTTGGTAAGTCAGTGTGTAACTGACACTATAGCAAGCACTGGGCAGGCACGCTTGTTGAAATTAGTGTGTCATTAGTGTCATGAGAAAATTACCCTTTTAAATCTTGCTGTCTGTCTTGAATATAAATACTTTCAACAACAGAGATTCCTCCTATTCGGAAACTCAAACTAACGCAGACCAAGTTATAACAGTAGAACAACCCTTGCTTTTGCACTTTTGCAAAAATTTCAGTCCAATCATTCACAGCCAAAAGAAGGATTAAAGCAATTTGACAGTTCAGCACCAAACATATAATTTATAACAGGGATTTTTGCCCTGTGGGTTTGTGAGGGAACTCTCTGCAGCTGGAAAATAAAAGTGTTTGTGGTGCAAAACCTAATGTTTTATTTTGGAAGCTTGTGACAGGAATATGCTACAACCATTGCTTCAGTTCACTGACTAAATATCCATTAGATATCTGAAAAAGCTAATGTAATGTTCTTTAGATTTGATTACACCCTGACAAAAATGTCCAGAAGTCATACAGGGTATTTTCATTTTCTGCCAGAGACAGTAATTGGAAATGTGACATACCATAGAGCTGCAAAAAAAGCAGGAGGCCATCTATAGAGTTTTGTCTGCACTGAAGATTGAAGTAATGACATGTCAAGAGTCCACGGTGGTGGCAGTAGCACTGTTGACAAGTTTAAACATTGGATATGTGGTGTGGGTGAGAAAATTGCATTTAATTACACAAAAATGGGCAAGTGCAGGGTACAGAAACTGGGAGATGGCTGCGGTGACGGGGGTAATGGCAGAGTAGGACGCCATTAGCTCATCGTTGCAACAAGACACACCTGGACCTCATTATCCCCACTCTATCTGCCTGCGTATCAGGGGATACTTGGAGACTTTGGATGGCAACACGGTTAAATACAGCTGTTTATCAACCTTTAAAAGGAATGCCGGCTGTTTGAAAGTTTCCTGCAGCACAGGTGGTGTGTTCTTAAGCCCGCCTTTTAATTTAAGCTCATTTTTGTGGAAAACAAGAACACACAAGCCTCCAGCATTCACTGTCACTTGAAGTGAGTAAAAGGCTAAATAGTGTTGTAGCTCCCTGACGACAGCAGACCATCCTCTATTTTTGGCAGTGTTGTGGAGACAGTGGGTTTAAAAGCGCTGCTTAAATTTAATCAAGCTGCAAGAAGAAACAGATGATTCATTAGGGAGACAGGTCTCAAAGAAGATGCTCAATACTGAACAGAAAACAGCAAAAATGGCTTAAAAAGATGAGAGAAACAGGGACAATTGAAGACAAAACTGCTCATTAACTGGTAACTAACACAAACAATAGTGAGAATAAAATGTAAAGAATAATATATATTACTCATTTAATTCATGTCAGTGCAATAGTTTAGGAAGTATATAAACCAGAATATTGACTATCTGTCAGTTGGCCCTGGATTTTGTTCTACTTTGTGCTCTATTTTTAACACAACCCTCTTTTTCTGGTATGGTTTTGCAATTGCACTGGTGAGTCACATATAACAGAAACCCCTAAAGCATTCATGAGAACCCGCAACTGCACTGTGATTGTAAAAGAATGGGTTTTATTTTTATCCCAATGCTTTGATCACTTCACAGAAAGTGTAATTACTAGTCCAGATCAATGGAAAGAGTAAAACTCATTTTTCTTACTTCAGCAGGTCATCTTCCCGAGCACCCAGTACGTCACCACGTCATCGCCTGGCTCCTGTGGTCACATTTATGGGATTTTAGGGCTTCCATTGGCCCAGGGTGTGGCTGAGGGATTCCTCGAAGGAAGTGCTAGAAGGTAACACTGCATTTAATCTTAGACCAAAGACCTTTAAATAGCACAGCTTGCACATTTGTTATAGTCACAGAGTCTAGCTGCACAAGGGGAAAGGGTTTAGATATGGATTAATTCCCTCTTTATGTGGATGGCTTTTTATCTACTGAAAACAGGCCACAGCTTACTGTAACCACTTGAGGCAGCAGTTTGTATTTATCAAGTGTATAGTTTCTTGCAATTATTAAATATATGTGAGTTCTAGTCTTATGAATGTCCATTTCTACTGGACAAGCTGGAGTTTTGAGACACATATAATAAGCTCTTTTTTCCAGACTTTCATTTGAATGTCATCAGTAGGCGGCAAAGTTAGAACCGCAAGGCCTCAAAATGTGTACCAGAAGTGGGTTAAGGAAAAGAAGATTCAACCTTGTAGTAAACCTGCCAATATAGTGCCACCTCATCACTATAAATATGTGTACATACCCTACTAATTTGGTTTTGCAAATGCAGTTTGGAGGACAAGTAATTGTTGCCTTGATTCTGTTCACTGACAGTAGTTGGTTCAGTGCATCTGATATGTGACATCTATATCTCAGTGGTCACAGGGGAAGCTTGGGTGTGTGGTTAAGTTCACAATTTAGAAAGTGTAGAGTAGGATTTTGGTCCTTTTTCCCACAGTTTTTAAGATGTCATCAACTACCAAAGGGTTGTGGTTTTGTCATAAATTTTACGAAATATTAAACAGCCCTGTTTTTACTTGGTTTGCTCATTATGTTTATACTGCCTACTATTGTTCCCACTGTGCTCTAGTCTTTGGATTTCCAGCTTCAATAGTAGGTAGAAGCAGTACGGCACCCTGTGGCTGTTTCAGCAAGACAGTGCCTATCCCCACTGTCCCACTTCTGGATCGGGAGTATAATCAGACACTTCCCTCGCTTTAACATTTAGTACTGATATGTCTCCGATTATATATGCCAACTGCAATCAAGCGTTTGCAATAACTGGCACAAGTGTTTAACATCGCAGTGGAGGAATTTTGGCCACCTTATCTTTCCAGAATTGTTTTAATTTAGTCCCACTAGAGGATTTTTAGCATGAATAGCTTTTTTTTAATGTTATGCCAAAGCATCCTAATCAGATTTAAGTCTGAACGTTGACTAGGCCATTCCAAAACCTTAATTTTGTTTTCTTTTTTTAGCCATTTAATGGTGAACTTGCTTATGTTTTTTTGATCATTATTCTGTTGCATAATCCAAGTGTACTTGAGCTTGAAGATTTGAAACGATAACTGGACTTTAGGATTTTCTGGTACAGAGAAGAATTCATGGTTCCAGTTACAGCAGAAGCAGCAGACCATCACACTACCACCACCGTGTTTCACTGCTGG